ATTAAAAGGGGCGAATTCTGAGATGGATCACCTGATAGGATTGGGCCTAGACCCTATCCACTTAGAGAGTCCAAGATCTAAATGAGATTTAGATCTGGAAGCCTCCTAATTAGATTATGAGATGACTGATCTGATCTGCAGATAAGATGAGGGTTATCCCTTATCACTTAAAGGGACTTCTAATCCAAATATGATTTGGATTAACAACTCCTAATGGGATTAGGAGCTGATCCCTTTAAGATTATGAAAGAAGAAAGGGGTGGCAACTATTAGTGATTGATGTTCAATTCTCTTAAGAGCTGAAAATCACAAGAAGAGAGATTTCTGCACCCTGTGAACACTCTCTTGTCGCCTCCTTACTGCCGCCGCCATTACCCTCAGTTCGATCTCCAGTTCTTGGGAGAAATCAAGATCTAATCTTGATTCCAATCTTTTGGGAAAGGATTGGTTGGAGCTGTACTCACAAGCCATCCAGTTGATTCTTACGAAGGGTAAAGTTCTTTTGGAAGAACATTGCTGATTCTGCTCCATCCTGCACTGCGCCATCTTCAGTGGGAGCAGATTTTGGATCCTTCCTTGGGCGTGAACATCTCCATTGGGAGATACTGTTTCTCCGTATCAGGTACATCCTCCCTCCTACTCCTTTGGGTTCAAATCTGGTTTGGTTCATGGTTCAAGATTGATCACTGAAAATATGTTTTCTAAAATAGGGAATTTGATTCCCTGCAAAGATGGGAGGATTTTTTTTTGAAATTTGCCCAGTCCATTCCGCAAGACTTGGGCGTCAGGTTTTTGGAGAGAACCTACCTGCCAACCCCATTAATTCCTAAATCAACTAACTTATGTAAAATAACATGTAGCACTGGCCTTAGGCTCGGGTTGTGAAGATCTGGTTTGACCTCAGGCTCGGGTCTAAAGCCCAAATTTCAGGGTCTGGCGCGGGTTGACCATAAACCCAGCCCAACATTCCCGACTTGCACTACTACCTACAACAAATAATTCGGAAATATCATGTTTCGTTCCATGTTACAAAGGATTTGAGACTGCAGGCGTTGCAGAATGCAGACCGGAAAAAGAAAAGAATGGATCTATATGGGGAAACTACAGGCCGGACACCTTCCAAGTTCCAAATGCAAAGTTAATAAACTATGCACAAATAGACAAATATCTTGTGATTTCTTCCCTTTCAACATTCTGCACAATTCTAATCAGCTATTGACTTTTACAGGATTTTGACATTTTGTTTTCAACTTTCTACAGTATTCCACCAAGAAAGCAGCCAACAGGCCAAAAGTACAAACTCCCACAAAAAGTGCTGGTCTCTTCGTTTCACCGAGGCTGCATTTCTGTCATGCTTGGAGCATGGATCAAACGGGTTGAAAAAATGGATGGATTCATTGACTTTTTGCGTTCCCGTGGTAGAGAAGAGGAACTCCCATCTGAACTACCATTACCTGAATCTCGAGTTGTATATCCCTTGTATACACCTGGCTGGATTAATGTTTTAACATTGAAATTCCTATCTTTAGAAAGCATCTCCACCACTTGCTTTATGGAGGGCCTTTGTTGTGAAGAAGCTTGGGTACAAAAGAGTGCAACCTTGATGAACCGCTCCACCTCATCCTCTGGGTATTCAACCAGTTCCGGATCAACAATGTCCAAGAGCCTACTTTCCTCTTTCAGTTTCCATGTCTGTGACATTATTCGTGTATGGTCAGTGAAAACCAACTAATACATCTACATAAGGAGATGATAAATGCTATAAATTTAAATAAATTCATCAAGCAGACTGTAAAAAGTGCCTGCAATTGGCATATATGTAAGCTGGCCATAGAGGGAAAAATTCACATCCCTTGTAGATATGTCATTAGCAGGCAGTACTTGCAGTCTACCGATTCAAGCCTTACAAAGAGAACCATAAATGAAAATGCTCCAAGCTTTAACAAACCACATGACTCTAACATAATGTATGAGCTGAATAGGAAAGATACCCATTCCACAAGAACCATCAGATCCTCTCCAAAAGCTGCCTTGGAGCTACTTCTGCCACTGACTATTTCAAGTATAAGCACACCAAAACTGTAGATATCAGCTTTCTTGGTTAGCTGCCCTAACAATGCATACTCTGGAGCCAAATAACCCCTGCACAAATATGGGAGATGAATTAAAATGAACTCAAGATGCAGAAAAGAAAAGGAAAAAACTCTCTTACATGCCAGTATATCATCTTATACTAATATGTTACAAAGATTCTCTTTATTTCTGATAATTGGTCATTACAAGAACATAATTTTGTGCAACAAAGTGTGCACTTAGAAATGAAATGGTTTCTCTTGACAAACAACAATTGTCATCATTTATGTGATAGCCTTTTCTGATGTTGAGCTTATGAGTTAACATTTCTGAAGGGTGTCAAACACTCGCTATTATCACCATTCTGATGAAATGAGGTATAAGTGAGGACCTACAGGTGCATAAGAAGTTCAAAAGAATTATAATCATTACCTTTTCAGAACAAATTTATCAATTATATATGGGACCCTCATATGATGATTAAACCCCCCAAGTAACGCAAATGACAAGATGAGAAGTTTATGCTTGGCTTGAACAGGTAGGCGCTTAGAATCTGTGTAGTAACAGCAATTGATATCTATTGAGGAACATTCAAATACATGAATTTTCCTTCAGAAGAAAATTCGTTGACAAATTAGAGACATTCCTGAAGCTCTCAGATCCTGAAGTTTGCAATTATGATCAACAGCTAATGTTTGGAATCAGCTATATCCTATCAAATATTTATATTTTCACTAAAATAAATGTATAGTTGGGATAAGTCTTGGATGATGATGACTAAAATAAAGGGCATCACAGTGCACGAGGCTCCTGCCAATATGGGGTCTGGGGAGGGACAGATGTATGCAGCCTTACCCCTGCACATACAGGGAGGCTGTTTCCAAGGTTTGAACCCTGGTTACCCAGGTCGAAATGGAGCAACCTGCCAATGCTTTGAAGTAAATAAATCCCCTCCAACAACTTTGTTACCATTAAAATAGACTTTCTAAAATAATAACTATATTGCCCTTTACTTTATGAGATACTACTTGCAAATCTTGCCAGTTTTGCTAAGTGTTGATTGAGTGAAATTGGAGCTCCTTGTTCTCTTCCTAGGTCCTGAATCACAAAATGACAATCATCTGAGCACAAATTTTGGCTATATGGTAAGGATCTTTACTAAAAGCCTTATTGTAAGACAGGGTGTAAGGATCACATGCCTTTCAAAGAACAAGCAAATATCTAACCAAGAAACCACTACTGATTTCTGTCTTGCTTACAAGGTAATATGTAATAAGTAAGACACAAAAGAAGTGCATTACGATAATATGATAATGTCTTTGATCTTTTAGTATTTATAATCTGCATGTTTGTCATGGTTTTAAATTTTGGCATAATGTCATAAAACATCAGTATTGGATATGGTAACCTAAACGAACATGAATAACCTTGAGGTATATAAATTTTCAGGAAGTTTTATGTTTTTATGAAATTTCAGTATTTCAGCCACTTATCCCATCTGAAAATTTGGATATAGTATGATAACTAACAATAAATAGCATACGTTTTAAAAACCATGGAATAACTAAAAATAACAGGAACTTCTCAAAAAAAAAAAACCTAGAACTATAAAAGCTCATTTCAGATCTAGGGTCCGAAATGGCCAATTTTCAGAATTTAAAACAATGGTGCTTATTTTTTTTTTTTTAATCTGATTATCTTTACATTGTATGAAGTAAGGTGGCTGAAACCAAATGTCCGATGGGATACTTTAAATTAATTAGCTTGGTGATACTTCAAAATGGAGCCATAGAGTGGTTATCATCCAAAAAAGTTTCCTTTTACAGGTGTAGGGGGTCTAGTAAAGGGGACCTATCCTTTGCATGTCAAATGCTAAATTGTCAACCATGTTTACCAACATTGGTTGCTAGGTCATCCTTTGCATTACAATTAAAATTAACTATATTTTCCGACAAGTTTATTAATAATAATTAAAACTTCAGTAAGGGTCCATTGAATTGATTGCATGAATACACATTGTAGCTTAAGTCCCTAAAACAGATTGCGAAGCCAAGTTAGAAACAGAATAAAGAAGCTATGTAATCAAGCTAAAGGTACACCGTACACTTACATTGTTCCAGCAACTTGTGTACTAAGATGAGTAACATTGTCTGGAAAAAGTTTTGCCAAACCAAAATCTCCAATTTTAGGATGAAAGTCTCTGCCAAGAAGTATGTTACTAGCCTTGATATCACGATGTACAACATGTGGTTCAGCTTCCTCATGAAGAAATAGTAGACCTTGAGCTGTACCCATGCAGATAGCAGCTCTTGTAGGCCAATCTAGATCAGCATGTTTGTGCTTGGGACCTGAAATTACAGATGGTGACATCAGCCTAATAGGTAGGCTTTTAATTCAGAATTATTTTTTCTAAATATGAAAAACATGTTGACTTTGGTGACTTGGCCAAATAATGAATTTTATATCAATTCTTTGACAAATATAAATATAAAAGAATTTAACAAATTAAAGAAAATGATGATATTGACCAATGTGCTTCTTTTCAAGTGCCGCTTTTTCACCAAGTCATTTTTGGTTGGATTGAATATTACCTTGTCATGATAATCCAGACAAATCACAGATAGGGGTGTAGTCGAGCTGAGCTAAGCCGAAATTCAGCATGTCTTGTCTCAGTTCTACTAAAATACTATTAGGTTGGAGTTGTTTGAGTGTGAGTTTGATTCAAACTCTATTTTCCATTTCGAGCTCGGTTTGGTTAGAGGTGATTAGCATCCCTAATAAGAGATTGTTAAGTCTATCAACATATCCTAATCATTTGACTTTTTATTACTAAAAATATGAGTCTAAGTGGCCATCTCACACATTAATCCTAGATTTACAATGAATGATACATCTAAAATAGCTAAAAGATGAGTTATTTTCACATCAGATTGCTGATGTTCTGATAGTTACCAAGTAAGGCGCTTGCAAGGCTATTGTTCTCCATATACTCATAGACCAACATCCGGTTGGTTCCTTCTATACAACAACCCAGGAGTTGAACAAGGTTTGGATGTCTGACATTTGATATCATATCAATCTCAGTCAAGAACTCTCGCGTTCCCTGTTTAGACTCAGCAGAGAGAGATTTAACTGCAACTTGGGTATCATCGCTCAAAACTCCCTGCAGCCAGAGCCCATCAACTGATTTAACTTCAAAAACAGAAGTAGCCAAAGACGTGTATAGACACATGGCGTGTAAAAAAAATCTTCGAATAAACAGGGTATATTTGATAACAGCTGAAATGATAATAGAATCATGAGAAAAGAACTCTGACAAACTCACTTTATAAACAACTCCAAAGCCACCTCCACCTATTCGGTTTGATGGATGGAAGTTCCCCGTTGCAGATCTCAGCATGCTGTAGGAAAAGAGCCGTACGTTGCTGGTAGAAATCTCTAATGATGCAGAAATAGATAAAAACAACATTCAAACATGTCAGTACCTGAATTGGGTCAAATGCTCATAACAAAGTTTTCATGTTGTGGAATTTTGATCAAACAGGTATATATCTTACGGAAATCATATCAATAGCTAAGAAACCATTTCAGGAAGTTCTAAAAAAAACTCGAAGGGAAAGATCATGTGTAAAAAAAAATCAAGCAGAAAAAGGTCACTGAAAATCAAGATGTGTATTGTAAAGAAAGGTTTCGTCGTATGAACCAGATAAAGAAGTGAATGAGTTCTGGTTGAAGCATTTGCCAACAGAAACTGGGCCTTTAATTGTAGTGAAACGTTTATTAATTTCTCTGAATCTTGCTCCACCAAACATTCACCAAGACACTAACTACATCTATCAAAGTTCAGCCAGTCGTAGCCCTTACCTTCTGCAAGTGTCGGAGAGTCAAGAGTCTTTCTTTTAGATGATCTGAATGCACAAAAGCATATAAGTTTCATGGCTAACAATTAGAAGTCCCAAACACCCATCAATATTCTTCAACTATAGACCTTCCAGCTGCCAAATTAAGTGAAGCAAGTGAGCTCATCACTTAACAGAATCTTCGACAAAACAAAAGAATTTGGTGAGCCACATACAAGGAACACGATTCTCAAATAAAGACCGAACCCTCCGATAAAAGTAACTGAAATCGACTAATTGGTATCGAAAACAGTATCGTTGGTCACCGTAGAGATCATCAGAGCCAGAACGCTACTCGACAAATTTCATAGACCGAAGGCGAGAACGACAGAGGAATGAGTTGTCGGTATCAGAACGAAAAACTAAGACACTATTAGAAGAAGCCCTGATTCGGTTCAATTTATAAATTCTGCTTCTGTTCATCTCCATACAAGTCTGAGACGTCAGTCCAACTTTCGAATAGGATAATGGGGAGGAAAGGTCAAAACGGCTAAAACCCAACTGAGAGGAAGTCTTAAGTCTAAAAGCGACGGCCTTGGGTGGTTCTGGACCTCTTGTAGTCTGGTCTGCCATTTTCCCACGTTGCAGTGTAAATTCTGAATCGTTCGTTTCCGGTGTTCCAGGGAACACCCTCTCCTTTGCATCTCACTTTGATCTTGATCGCACGATTGGTTGAATTGAAGACGACAAGATAGTCTTACACGTGGAAGTATGGTACACCACTGTTGAAGCGTGGACTATCGCCATAAATTTAGGAAGGAACGAATAAAACAGACGAAACCTGGGAATGGCTCTAAGCCCAAATCCCCAAACAACGCTGAAGTCACTAGCCTCGTCCACACGCGATTATTATTTTGATCAAATGGAACAAGATATTTTAATATTTTAGGAAACGCTTTCCATGGTTTTATTACAACTGACTAACTCAATCCTAAGCAAACACGGTTACATTCAGTTTACAATTTGCATGCAACATTTTTAAAATCTAAAATTGCCTTTAAAAATATTTTTTATTATTTACGTTCAAAATTCTTTCATTTCTTTTAAATAGAATCATTAGTTTTCAACGAGAATATCATCCTTTCACGCTGCCTCACAAATGAGGAAAATACTTGACTCCTAGTCTCCTACACGTTGGAGGACATCCTATTCAAGGTTTAAAATTTCAATAGTTATTGGTCAGTATTGGCCGATATATTAATGGATTACCGATACATCCTTATGGTGGGTGTTTCAGGGCCTAATCCGATTCGGGGGATAGAAGGGCCTTAAACCGATCCTTTTTAAACCAATTGGAAAAGAAAAAACTAAAAAATAAAATAAATAAAAAACAAGTCACGATACAGAGCCTATATTAATATTTTGAATCTTGATCCTATCACAACCATTTTCCACACTATTTTTAGGTTTTGGTTTTAGGATTTAAAATTATAGAATTAGAGTGTAATTTTAGGGTTTAAGATTTAAGATTTATATTTTAAAATTTAAGATAAGTTTAAGGTTGAAGGATTTAGAGTTTAAGATTAAAATTTAAGGGCTTAGGGTTTAAGAATTAAAGGTTTAGATATAAAGATATTGTGGCCTATCAAGGCTTCTCAAGGCCAAAACTTTCATTCAACTTCATTAAAAGTTCCTCTCAAATACGAACAGATCTGCGGCTTAATATTAAGTTTCTTGTAGTTGTGGCGATCTATCGCTAATATCTACTGCCTCAGATCTGCGGCTTCGGTTTTTCAATTTCATAATGGTTGTATTGGTTAGAAAATGGGTGCTATGTATTTGAAATTTTGAAGAAAAATGAAGAGTAATATATACATTTTAATATTAAAGAATTTGCATTTTTTTTTTGTTTTATAAGGATTTTGCAAATAATAGGATAGTTTTAGTCCATTTTCTAAAACTGATATATAGTTTAAAAGATTTTTCCAATATTTTATTATCCCAAAACGCCCTCCATTGTTTTGTGATGGCCCAAGGGAAGAGTTAGTTGGCACTCCAATCCAAGTGCCAATTGTGTTTTTACATCTCTCTTGTAGGCTCCTTACTTGTTTGGTAATTCTTTCGATTAAAAGTGTTTATCAAGTTTTCTTTTGACCGCTTTTACCCATAAAATGCAATTATTAGATAGAGCAATTTTGTCTCATAGGCTTAGTTGGTCTAGTGTATATTTGCATGCTTGTTCAATTTTGACATTATTTGGTAGGGAAAATCTAGGATATGGGAAAGATATGATATGTAAAGAGTTTTGATCAATCAAAATTCACCCATGAATTTTGATAAATAACACCTTATTCGCTAACGCATTTATGATTCCATTTTATTTATAAGTTGTTTTTCGGATATCATATTTTTTCCATGTCATAGTTGAATCCTATTTGGTAAGCGTGCATTTATGTTTTGAAAATGATGTCAAACTTTGCACTTAAAGTTGATCAATGTTAAAAATTATATTTCAATCTCGGGATTCATGTTTGTAACTATCACAACTAGACCTGTTTACGGGCTAGGCTTCAAACCTTACCTTACACTGTTTTAAGCTTCGGCTTTGGGCTGGGCCATTCAAATTTTAACAAAAGCCAAGCTCGAGTCTAACCATGAATAGGTCTAATCACAACTAAAATTCATTTGATAAGAATACCAAATTAAACAACTTTGCATTTTCATGAACCAAGCGTATTTGCATTTGCACGGATCATTTTTGTATTTGCACTCTTCCCAAATGAAACCACAATATCTTCACAACTATCTCCAAGATGAAGTTATTTATCCATTGGATAACCATGGAACTTATATTTACCAAAAATTGAACATGAAATTATTGGTTAATAAGAACAAATTTTCCGTTGACCAACTTCATTTGTTCATCAATTTATCAGAAACGGATGAGGCCTTATTCTTTTTGATTGGTTTAGGTGGGTGATAGCCAATAAAGAGAAATTAAGGGGATGTTTGGAACCATGGCTGTTTTTCAAAAAACGGTGTTACGTCGGATCCATATAGGCATTTCAACAAATGCCTATGTATCTCATTGTTTGGTTCCCCCAACGGTTGATTGATGTGTATCCTATGTGGTGCTTATCTGTCAGCATATACATGAAAACGGTGATGAAAATCACCCGACCAAACAACATAGTGATTTTCACTACGTATGTGGTAAAAGCGTTTTTTTTTTTTTTTTTTGTGAAAAACAGGTCTTGAAAGCATGGACATTTTTTTTCTTAAAAATCAGTCCCAAAAAAACACCCACGGTTCCAAACACCATGTAAATAAAAAAATTGAATCGATTAATCCTGTAGTCCCCTTCCATGTCCATTTTTATCGGTTGTCACAGTCAAAGGGAAAGTTGTTAACAATTTTTGTAAATTTTTAATGAAATTTTTCTCAACTTTTGTTTTTCTCCAAATTTGTAGGTGAATATTTATGATGCCAATTTTATTTATTTTTCATTATTCATTGTTTCTTTTCTTACCACTAACCATGCCGAGAGAGGGAAAGATGTGCTTAATCTTTGACATTTTAGGGGGTGTTTGGCTTGTGGTTTTTTTCGTGCTTCATATGGTTTACAAAGTCAACCAATGATTTTTGTATGCCAATTTATGGTTTCGGATCAGCAAAGTGACATTTTTTAACAAAATTTTCTGTTGTTTTTTAAGAGGTATGCACTGATGTAGGCATGCCAATATCGCTCTAGCAATAATGTTTTTAATTGATGAGGATTATACTTTTTCTTGGTCAAATATTGATGAGGATTATGCAATCAAAATGAAGGGTCCGTTTGGTTTATATCCGAAATCAAAATCAGAATGGTCTATTTTCATGGTTTATTTGGTTCAGACAGAAATGAAAATAGGAATTAGAATAAGCAAGAATGAGATTTTATTTCCAAGGGAGGGACAGGGAATGACCATTCCCTCAAACAAGGGAATGCCATTCTAATAGAAATGGGAATGAGATTCTGATTCCACTCAATCAAACTGTTGGAATCAAAATAATCCATTCTGGCCAAGGTGATCATTCCCTCAAACAGGGTAAAAGTAGATGTACACAGGAATCACACAACCAACATTCTCATGCCATGATTAAAAAATGAGCTACAAACATTAGTTTTAAAGCTATACCACCTAGGTGATCATTTCAGCCCAGCATGAAAATTCTGGGCTTGGGCCTAGATTTGTGTTTAGGCATGGTTCGGCCCGGCCCAGTCCACACACATATTATATGTTATTTTATGTATATATTATAATAAGACACTTGAAGAACTTTGACCAATTAAAACCCACCTGTAAATTTTGATAAATATCATCTAATTGCTTAACATATTTATGATACTGTTTTTTGCTCACAAGTTTTTTGGATATACAGTTTTTTCGGTATTATAGTCAAACTCAATATTTTATATTATACAGTACTGTATAAATAAAATTATATACACATTATATGCCATTTAATATATAATATTTTATATATAGAAGACATAGGCTTAGCCTAGTCCAAATTGAGCATATATTTCAAGCCCGGAACCCAGACCAAAGTTATAACCCTTGTCAATTGTCATAAGTGCAAGCCCAGTTAGCCATGATCACCCTTATTATCACCCTTTTTCAGAACCATGAGCTGAAGACCATCTTAATAAGGATGGCCGAGTTTTCAATGAATTAGAATGTTTATAATTTCTCTAGTGATCCTAAAAATTCAGGTCCTTGAAGGGTAAGGATGATAATGAACAAAATGCCAAATATGAGTAAGTCTCATCAGTGGGACTCTTTCCTCGTAAAGTAAGTAATAAATGGTGTATTTAATTTTCATTAAGTGATGGGTCCTTTACATGGACTAGGGCTTCTTTATTGGTAGGTAGAAACTATTCCCAACACAATCTTATCCTCGTCCAGCTGCCATTGACACAACAATTCTACTAACAGCCCGAAACTCCGAAAGGCAAATGGCCATTACATTGCAATCACACATTACATACATTGTCATCTTGTATTATGAGATGTGTGGCTGTTGTGTACTGTGGATCGAGAGCGGATAGAGAAAATAGGAAATTTGGGTTTGGGTATGGTTTTAATTTTGACCCTTTTTTTGCACATATCCGATCGGGTCCGATCCCTTAAATGCCTTGAGAATTCAAACAACAAACTTGAGAATGGAGATGTCAACATGGTCTACGGTGATATTTCTATTTATTGAAAACGACAAAAAGGAGAGTCATTCAAGTGTAATAAAGAGGAGTAATAGCTAATCTTATTTCTTATCTACTGCTCATCTAATTTTATATTAAAGAGCAGGGTGGTGGGACAGGCTCATGTACTCCGATTATCGACACGCTGAGTTGAGATCAGAACTGGTTCAGAACCGAAAATTTTATATACCATATTATTTTATTTTTTAGGTACTTTGGTGAACCTCTTTTTATTTATATTTTAATTAATTAATTAATTGCTTTAAAATTAATTAAAGAAAATAACCCAAGAGAAATTTTACACTTATGCCCTGCATCTGCATGTTGTCAGGCC